AATACCAAAATGACGCCGGGCGAAGGGCCCACTTATCTGTGGGAGGGAGGAGGCTGAGTGTAGTTGCCGGCTTGCAAAGGCAGGAGGTGGAAATTGCCAGGAACATTAGCTGGAAACGGGCGATGCCCGTGGATGTGGACGCCGAGATTTAGAGCGAATATATGGCGCATATGCACGATGTTAATGCCTCAACCTCCGCTGGGGAGATGGGTCAGACCTCCGCGCTCAGTGCTGCTGCTTGGTCGGACGCTCAGCCACTTATGGTTGGGGAGAGATCAAGCGGCGTAGCCGGCTCACTAACAGCAACGCAAAAGGGAGTCCTGTCGAACCGGGAGGGTATTTCAAACATCGTATCGCAAAATGTGTTGCATGAATGGCGTGGAGCTGCCCCTGAAATCTATGGGGAAGTTAGTCGGAACCTTGCACCGACGCCTGCAGCCCAACTGGAGACCCTTCCGCTTGCGGTAGGGGGGAAGTTGGGTGCTACTGTTTCTTCGCGGGTGAAGGAGTCTGGCTAGGAGTCACGGAAGCATGGGTCATCATCCGGGGGTGGTGAAGCATCGCCTTGCTTTTTATGTCCAATTTGTGATATAAAATTCAAGACCAAACAAGGTCTGGGACAACATAAGCGTCATAGGCATCCTGTGCAGCTCAATGCTGAGCGGCTGGAACATTTGCCAAAGCGGAGGGGCGAATGGTCGGGATATGAATGCCGCACTGTGGTTGAGAAAGCGAACATTCTGATGGAGCGGTGCTCAGAGAAACAGCGGTTATACCTACTGCTCGAAAATGAAATGCCAGGAAGAACGGCAGAAGGCATAAAGAAGCAACTGAGGAAACTCAGTTGGGAGATTCAGCGATACCGGGGGGCACTGCTGCGGGGATCAGATCGGCAGTGGTGTCAACCCTACAGGAAGAGAGATCGGCCAAAAGGGCACGTCGGATGACTTTGGACTGTCAGCCCTTAGGCTCCTCTCCGACTGACCAGATACTGGCCGCCACCATGGAGATAATATCAGACCTCCCAAAGATCGAACGAGCCAGACACGAGGAGGTGGTGGACCTAGATCTTCCGGTAACCCCGGAGGGTGTTGGGGTGGCCAAATCAAGGTATCGGAATGGCGAACAGAAATGTTGCGCGATATTGTTGACTGCTTACTGACAAACATGATAGAACAAGTTGGTTTTCAGCAGGTTACTGAATGTGGCGATGAACCTTCAGTGCGGTGTTATGTCCTGGTCTGATGTGACTAAAGAGTTTCAGAAGATCGTTAATGAATCATTTCCGACAAAGTGGCGTCGGAAGGTTTTTCCCTTGTAGTGTAACCAAGGGACAAAGAGATGCAAGCGGAAGGCTCAGTACAAGCGATTACAGCAACTTTATGCGAGGAAACGCAAAGACGCGGCCAAGAGTGTACTTGTTGGATCATGGAAGAACAGGGCAGTGCCACATGAAGTGAATCTAGCAGCATATTGGCAACCGATGACGATAGAACCGAGTCATCCGGATAAGCATCCAGTTTTGAGTGTCTACAAGGATGGATCTAATCCAGACAATAACAGTGGCAGAATTGCAGCAGTCGCTTGGAACTGGGGACATCACCCCGAGCCCGGATGGCGTGACCATGGTAATGCTAAAGAATTATAATCCGGTTGTGCTCAGCGCGTTGATGAATTTTATGTTGCTACTAGAAGTAGTACCAGAGAACTTGAGTTTGGCTAGGATATCGCTGATTCCAAAAGTTGCCAGTCCCCAAGAAGCTACTGAGTGTCGACCTATTGCTGTGGCTTCAGTGGTAATGCGGACATTCCACAGAGTTCTCGCGCGGAGATGGAGGTCAGTAATGACTCTGTCGAGCGTGCAAGTCGCGTTCCAGCAACTGACGGGTGCCTTGAGGCTGCAACAGCTCTCCACTGCCTGCTTCGAGCCGTTCATGTGGACAAGAGTAATGCGGCTGTTGCGTTCTTGGACGTGACAAAAGCGTTTGATACAGTGTCGCATGATTCGATATTGCGGGCAGCGCAGTCGCAAGGTGCTCCGGTTTCGCCATTGCGATATTTGAGTCAAGTCTACTCAAACTCGCGTGTGCTCTTTGAGGGGGAATGAAGTTAAAGTTGGCCGTGGGGTGCGGCAAGGTAATCCCCTTTCCCCGTTGTTGTTCATAATGGTACTTGATGAAGTCCTGCGAGTATCGGATCAAAGACCAGGAGTAGAGCTAGGTGCCAAACCCTTAGGGGCACTAGCCTACGCGGACGACCTGGTGCTTACAGCAACCTGTAAAGAGGAAATGCAGAGTAAGCTTGGTCGATTAACAGCGAGCATGAAGGACGTTGGTATGGTCCTTAACACAGACGTGCCGTGCAATGACGGTAACAAAAGTCAACAAGCAGAAGACGATTGCTCTGAAAAAAATTGAATATGTGATAGACGGGGCAAAAGTCACACCACTTACTGTGACTGATGAAGTTAAATATCTTGGCCTCCAGTTTGACTGGAGGCGCAGGCGCAAGGTAAAGAGCACACAAAACTTTGGGGAGATGTTGGAGCAGATATCGTCTGCACCATTGAAACCACAACAGCGAGTCGACGTACTCAGTGACTTTTTGATACGGAAACTGCTATAGGAGCTCGAGTTGGGAAACGCGCATGGAAATGCGCTGCGCATGTTGGATGGGATGAAGCGGGAAGCGGTAAAAAGGTGGCTTCGGTTACCTAAGGATACGAGTACTGCATATTTTCACTTGTCGAAGCGCAGAGTTGGACTGGGCCTCTTAAACTTTACGGTGGCGGTGCCCTTACTTCAAAGGGACAAGATGACCCGAATTCTGTCATCTCCGGATCACTGGGTTCGTGATCTGATCCACTAAGCGGCTTTTCAGGTGGACGTTAGGCAAGCTAACGTTCCAGTCAGAGTGGGCAATGAGGTGCTGAATAACCAAGCGGAAGCGGACGAAGCATGGGGGGAACAGCTGGCCAGTAAACTAGATGGCCGAGATTTGAGGTTGGATTTGCAAAATCCCGCCAGCAATCTCTGGATTAGAGAGAGTGCCCGAGTGTTCCCTCGGTTGTATATCAGAGGCATCAGGTTACGGGCCGGAGTCCTGCCCACGAAAGTTCGGCGTAACAGGGGCGCCAGTCGCAAGAAGGAAGAGGTGGGATGTCGAGGCTCCTGCGGTCATCCGGAATCGATTGGGCACATTCTCCAAAAATGTGCGTTGACCCATAGTGCCCGTTGTGTCAGACACAACAGAGTGGCTAAGAAGACAGCCAAAGTGCTGAGGCGAAAAGGATATGCAGTGTGGGAAGAGCTCATAATCCCACGAAATAAAGACGTACTGCAAACCGGACTTGGTGATTAAGTATGGGTACCGCGTTATAGTATGTGATGTCACTATTGTTAATGGGGGGCGGATGGCGATCTCCTGGGAGAAGATCCGCAAGTATGACTGTCCAGCGGTGAATGTAGGGGTGTTAAAGCTTGCTTCAGGGGAGAAGCCGGCACGAGTGCCGATAACTGTGGTGAGGTATCTGCCTCTGTTAATTTCAGACCGCGGTTTTGTATATAGCCACTCCGTAGCTGGGCTGCGCTCGATGGGCGTCATTAATAGAGGCATATCAGACCTATGTGTCCTGACGATGATCGGATCGTTGAAATGTTACGATGTCTGCGTGAGAGGCACTGGTTGCGAACCCGTGATATAAATGCTCTGCATCATTGATCTCTTTTGCGATCGCTTTCCAGATCTGAGATGGAAACCTGAAGATTCTGGAAAATAGAAACGCAGGGGGATGCGTACTGATGTGCACAGGGTCCACCACAATAGCGCAGTGACGGCGCGTGATCTCGGAACAATGAAGCCGAATGAAGAAGAATGATGCTTTCCCTTTCCCCAACACATCTGCCCTAACCCATACGTACATTCCACCCGATTACCCATGCTCTCAAAAAAGGGTGTAACATTGTTTGACGGTGAATGAGTGCTCCGATGGAAGTAACAGTCCCAACCACAGAGTGACTACTTGAATGTCTGCGCCAGTTTGGCGAGCAAATGCCCCAGACATGAAACACTATTGTGCTTACGGCTCATGCCATGTAAATGAGAAGCGTCCGCTTCATTTCCGAAAATACATGTTTTGAACTAGCCAAATGCCTCATCATCTAACTAGTGACGCGCATGAATGGATTAACGTGATTCCCACTGTCCCTATCTACTATCTAGCGAAAACACAGCCAAGGGAACGGGCTTCGCAGAAGTAGCGGGAAAGAAGACCCTGTTGAGCTTGACTGTAGCCCGACTTTGTGAGGAGACATGACGGGTGTAGAATAAGTGGCAGCGAGGTCTTTCGGGGCTGAGCGTCAATGAAATACCACCACCGTCATTGTTTCTTCGATTATTTAGCAAAACGGGGAATGAATTTTAGTGCTAAGCACATGCTGACGTCCGTGACTTACGTTGCGGGGATTGGTGTCTTGGTCATGTCAGATGAGCTTTGGCTATCGCCTTGGTGTTTGAGTCTGATGGTCATGTGCGACCCGTTCTGAAGACAATGTTAGGCGGGGAGTTTGATTGGGGCGGTACATCTGCCAAATGTTAACGCAGGTGTCCCAAGGTGAGCTCAGCCAGGACGGAAACCTGGCGTGGAGTAAAAGGGCAAACGCTTACTTGCTTTTGATTTTCAGTACGAATACAGACCGTGAAAGCGTGGCCTATCGATCCTTTTGAATTTGATATTCGGAGTTTGAAGCAAGAGGTGTCAGAAAAGTTACCACAGGGATAACAGGCTTGTGGCGGCCAAGCGTTCATAGCGACGTCGCTTTTTCATCCTTCGATGTCGGCTCTCCCTAGCGTTGTGACGCAGAATTCACCAAGCGTTGGATTGTTCACCCTCTAATAGGGAACGTGAGCTGGGTTTAGACCGTCGTGAGACAGGTTGGTTTTACCCTACTAATGAGTACAATGAAACAGTGAAGTACAAACTGGGCGTTGCCACGGTAATCCTGTTTAGTACGAGAGGATATGCAGGTTCAGACATTTGGTATATGTGTCTGGTCGAAAGGCCAATGGTGCGAAGCTACCATCTGAGGGATTAAGACTGAACGCCTCTAAGTCTGAATCCCGTCCAGATTTGCAACGGTACACTCTGTGCCTATCACGTGGCAAGGCAAGCTTACGTATTCCTGCTAGCACTTGGACTGAGCTATGTGCTCGGCCATGGCTGGTAGGTCTGGTGTAATGCCAGAGCGATATGACCAAAACTGTGCTCCGGAACTCGGGGTATGGAGGTCGATACGATATCCAAATGTGGAATGAGCGTGAAGGCAATAAATCGTTTGTAGACGACTTAATGTTTTGTCGGGGAGACGTAAGTGTTCGAGCAGCTATCACACTGCGAGACATTGAGTCCTATCCCTGCATGACGTAATGATTTGAGAGCTAGACTCTCATTCATTTCCTTTCTGTCGAACCGCGTTGGGCAGTATGCGTGCCAACCCACATGCGCGTGCTTTGAGTGAATCAGGCAGGTCTCGACCGATTGGTCTGCTTGTGGCGCGTTTGTGCCGGGTCTGTTTCCGCATGCGTACGAACGCTGGTAAGCTTTCCTGCCTCGGTGGGTTGAGGTGTTCCAGTGTGTAGTGCGCATGGGGAGCATTGACATGCGTCGAGTGTATTAGAATGATTTGGGTGCCTGAGCCCCATTCATTCGTTTATGTGCAGTGGGTAGTGTTGGAGATGGCGTGCTGCAGGTCTTCACCTGCTAGTCCTCTTGCGGCGTATGCTTATGCGGGCTTGTACCCGCATGTCCTTGTGTTGGTACGGTATGCGGGTGTGGACGAAGACCACCGAACCACGCTTGAGGCGCATTATGGTGATGATTTGGGTGCCTGACTCCCATTTATTTATCCGGATCCGCTGTGCATGGGCCTGGTCGGAGGATACGCAGTCTGTTGCCTAAATAGGACTCCGGCGCGTGGGGTTTCAAAAGGCATAGGCCGGTAATTCCACGGGTTGTTGGCAAAGCAGATTTTTAATTTGGGGCTTAAGCCAAAACCAGATTTTGAGTTGCGAAAGCGCCCATCCCTGCGTTTGGGATTAGAAACTTTTCATAGTGTGTGAACACACACACCGCGCTTATATTAGCAAGTCCCCCCAAGCCTGGATATATCACCATGCTCAGGTACCTCGGTACCTGGACACGGCCGTATACCACAGGCCCGGTGTCCAATGTATAGCGTGCATGATATGCACACTCACGCCAAGATTGGAGGGAGTTTTTTTACTTATACATGAGATATAGGGGAGAGGAAGGAGTGGGATCCACTCCTTGTAATTGTTTCGCCTTAAGCCCCAAATTAAAAATTCGCACTGCCACAACCTCTTTGGGAGTGTGACAAGGCTTACCGCAGGGTACTCTGGTCTGATGACTGTAGGTACCTTGCATGAAGAGATGTTCACCTACGGTATGCCTACCATAGGTGTAACTGATGCCACGGCTGAACACGTATAGGCTTAGTAGGATTGCCGCGTATGCGGTTGTGGACAGCCATCAATATACCCTTTCTATTGGTGGTGGCAATGGATTTTTTTAATTTGGGTCTTAAGGATAAGGCATATTTTTTGTTCGATAGGATGCTTGATGAAAGCAGGCACTCTGGTATGTTTGGGGGTAGACGTACTGCCGTATATGTTTGGCGGCACCCGGTTTCGGATTTGCCTATCACTGTGGCCAGTCACAGGACGCCTGCGCCTACAGAGGGACCATGGGTTACTTGCACTGCGCCACCCACAGCTCCAACCACACACCCATATCCAGTGTAAACCCGAAGGAACAAGAACGGGAGGATTGCGGATGGGAGCCACGTCTCATCAACGGAGCCGGCCCACATTTCTTCACGGGCAAACACAAACGCGCTGTAGTTTGGGAATCAAGTACACACAAGGCGGTGGCTGGACCGCAGTCCGCTCAACAATGACTGCATGGAACCACTCATTTGAGCCTAGCACGACCACAAAGAGTGTGCACCCGTCCCCTCCTGGAGCCAGATGGACGAGGTAGTGGGTAATAGAGAGGTAGGCACCTTGTCAACATGCACATCAAGCGCAGCCACACCTGGGATGTCAAACAACAGCCAATCATTCGAAATGCCAATATCGAATAAAGTAAACGCATACGACGAGGGCGATGGCTGTTGCCAGTCATCTCTGTTTGAGAGTACGTGATGCTTCTACTGTGGTTAGGCCGACTGGCTTGTTCTGTACGTTGAGCAGTCAATGGGGGCATGACCTGCATCAACTGTGTTTCAACGATAATCCGATTGCTTTCAAGCAATGTAGGCTGCAGGATAGGGCGATCCTACCGGTGAAGAGAAATTGCATGGTCCGCACGATTGGTGCTCCGTGTGGTGTTTGTTCTGGTCTGCGGGACCTGAACGTGGGGAACAAGCTGGTTGATCCTGCCAGTAGTCATATGCTTGTCTCAGGGATTAAGCCATGAATGTCTAAGTACAGACCTTCAAACGGTGAAACCGCGAATGGCTCATTAAATCAGCTTTGGTTCCTTAGATCGCACATACTACATGGATAACTGTAGTAATTCTAGAGCTAATACATGCCACTATGCCCTGACCCGCGAGGGAACGGGTGGATTTATTAGAACAGAACCAACCGGTTGTGGTCTTGGCCATGGCTCGGCCACATGTTAAGCATTCCAGCCCACCGACTCGCGCGACGTGCGTTGTTTGCTCACCGGGGATGTGAGTGGAAGAAGAGGAGAGGTGGCCAAGCGATGACTTGGTCTAGAGGAATGAAGTCCATCACTTCGGAGCTAGCCTTGGTTGGAGCTTCACGACTCCCTGGTTGGGGTCCAAAAGACGGTGAACACGTTTGGCTGGATACACTTGCTGACATGGCAAGGAGCCGACCTCAGTGGCGTTCCTGCTGTGAGTTTCTTTGTCCCTCCCCATCCCTTTTAATCTCCCCTTCTATCTACGATCTCATTTCCTAGGGTAAAACATAATTTAATTTTTTTTCCTTTTTGCCTAGTAGCTGGCTGGAAGCTTACCGGAACGATGCCTATCCGTTGCTGGTAGCTCAGCTGGCATGCAACGGTTGTATCTATTTTTCCTTTGTGTATTGTATTATATGTATGCATGTATGTATTTCTTTCATGTATTGCGGCACAATAGCGTAGGTGTTTTCCCACCTCTAGCTGATGTGTATAATGAATGAATGAATGGCCTTGGTCATTTCCATTGCACTCTGTGATGACTCTGGGTAACTTCGCTGATCGCAGTCGGCTTTGTGTCGGCGACGGATCTTTCAAATGTCTGCTCTGTCAATTTTCGATGGTAGGCGACCTGCCTACCATGGTGATAACGTGCAACGGGAAATCCGGGTTTGATTTCGGAGAGGGAACCTGAGAAACTGCTACCACTTCCAAGAACAGCAGGCGCGCAAATTACCCAATCCCGGAACGGGGAGGTAGTGACGAAAAATACGGATACGGGACTCATCAGAGGCTCCGTAATTCGAATGAGTACACTTTAAATCCTTGTACAAAGATCAACTGGAGGGCAAGTGTGGTGTCAGCAGCTGCGCTAGCTCCACCTCCAGAAGCGTATATTAAAGTTGTTGCAGTTATGATAATCAACAACAGCAGAACATCAGCCATTTGAACTGATGCTTCGCTGCCATACAACCATAACGACCTATGAAATAAAGAATAAGAAGAGGGAGATGAGGGGGACTTACCTGAAAACCTTAATGCCCTAAGCAAACATTCAGGGTCAAGGCGCCTACACCTTGTGTAGGCAACATACCCTCACATACAGCTGGCTATCGTGCAAAGATTAAGCAGCATCGGCGAGACAGCTTCCTTGCGGCTTTCATTTTAACGCGTCATAAGCAGCCATTACCCTGCAGATAACTCAGCACCAAACACACTTCAAACAAGCAACCCGATTAGGAGACGGAAGCAGACGCGCCACTGGTGTCTACTGCGAGCCATGTCCTGTAAAGTCTCGAGCCAAGCACAAGGCGAGTCACGTGGACTCCAGCCCGGAAGGCGAGTGACTTCATTTCCCGCTGCCAAGTCAACTTCTGTCCACCTCGAACCTTTGCGCCAGTCTACACCTGGCAGAGTAAACAAGTCCCTCCAAGGTAAGCAGTGACCAGGCATACATAACACGTGCACGAGACAACACAACTTATTCAGTAATATCTGTTGTTCTAGGGAGCTAGCATGATTTTCACCACCTAGTGCCCGCTTACGCACATCATCGTTGCGGACACGCAAGTGCCATCCGACTCCAGCAATGCTTCGCAGACAACGATGATCAAACGCTTGAAGCGGTTCAAATCTTCAGACCGAAGGGGCCAAGTCTCACTACCATAGAGCAGAACGGCCCTCATTGTAGCCTTGTATACACGGCCTTTCAGACGGAAGGAAACTCTCCTCTGTCGCCAAAGATGCCACAGGTTCAAGAAGGTAGCTCTGGTTTTTGCAATGCGTGAGCTGACGTCAGTTTCTATGCGCCCATCATTGCTGATGCAGCTGCCAAGATAAGTGAATTAATCAACCACCTCGAGCTCCTCGTTAGCAAGTGTCAAGGGGTCATCAAGTGGCTGGTGGTCCTGCAGCAATAACTGGTACTTTGAAGGTGCGAAGTGCATACCAAATAATGGGACCAATCTGGACAAGCTATTCAGGGTTGATTGTGCCGTAGCAACGTCGTCGAAAAGCAAGACGATATCGTTCAGATAGTCTAGATCAAATAAATTTTCACCAGGCAGCACTTCAACGCCTACATCGTGAGATTCCGCAAGGAAACACTCCATGATAGAAGCCACGACGAAATTCAACAAAATGGGGAAATCGGACAACCCGGACGAACGCCACTTGTGGTCGGAAAGCTATCCGATAGGACACCGTAAACCCTAACGCGGACTGTAGTGTTCGAGTGTAGAGCACGAAGGATGTTCACATATTTCGTGGGAACACCTTTCCGTGCAAGCAGTTAGAACAGAACCGATCGATCGACTGAATCGAACGCACTCTTCAAATCGAGGAACACAGCTATTGTCGAGCTGCGGTATGCGTGGCGCTGCTCTAGCACATGCCGCAAAGTGAATATATGGTCCATACAGCCACGTCCTAGGCAAAAACCGGCCGGCTTATCCCGCTCCGCAAAGAGGCGACGAACGATAATCGAGGCCAGTAACTTTGTCATAACTGGCGTTAGGCTAATACCCCTGTGGTAAGCACAGTCTGTGCGGCTGCCCTTCTTGTATATTGCCACAATAATCGATTCGCCCCAATTAGCCGGGACACTTACTTTCAGATACATTCGAATAGGGAGCTCAGTGCTTTGCAGACAACATCGCCTCCATCCTTACATAGTGCACGTGGGAGGGAATCAGGGCCAGCGGAACGAAAACGATTGAGGGCTGTGATCGCGTTTCGGACTTCAGCCTCCGATGGAGGCTCTAAACTAACATTCCATGGCTC